CCTGAGAGGCAGCGCTGGATGGCTCAGCCGGCTCAGGCGTGGGTCCCAGCTGCCCCCTCTGACCGGTCATTTCCTTGGGGCCCATTCCCCTTCAGATGCTCAGGACTGGTACCGGGTGTGACGGCGCGTTGGGGTTCCCCTGATCCTGCACCCCCATAGCAGTGAGAACAGGCTCCGCCAGCCAGTAGAATAGAGAGGGTTAATTGCTTCTCCGGGATACAGGACAGCACAGAGGTGATGTAATTTCAAAAGTCAGAGCCAGGATGCCTCAGACCCCTTGGGTTTGGGGGTCCATTCTCTCCCTCCGCCCCCGACCCTCAGCACTCCGCTTAGTCTCTTCCCTTCATGCTTCCCAGCCAGAAACTGCCTTGCTCCCAGGGCCTGCCCCCAGCCAGGTGTCCGTCTCTGCCTCACTTCCTTTGTCTCTCCCCCTGGGAAGAGCTTTGCTAACTGCCCAGGCTGGGCCTAGGTGTCTGGGCCAATCCACATGTGGGTGAGTCAGTGGGAATCACGCATCCCAGCGCAGGGGAACCCCGGGTGACAGAGCAGACCGCCCCCACTATGCCAGCCCGGGGCAAAGGCTGGAGCCAGCACATGCCAGGGGCATCCTGCCCTGGGGTCTGTCCCCCCTCCCACCAAACCCAGAGCCCCTCGCTGTGACCCCACCCCCATGTGGCTCCAGGGCAGCAGCAGCTCCTGAGAGCGATGGCCCCAGCCCTCAAGGGTGGGGGGTTTCCCCGGGGCACCCTGAAGATGGGACAGCATTGAGCCTACCCCAGTTCAACTGTGCCTCCTCACTCCAGCTCCACTGGGTGCGCACCCGCTGGACGGACCGCAGCAACTGGGACTACTCCAACTGGGTCCGAGGGTACCCCAGGAGCTTTATCACACGTTGTGTGTCCATGTGCACCGCAAGTGAGTCATCCCAGGATTTGGGGGGGCGCAGGGTGGAGATGGGGATCTCATCACTGCTTGGGGAAGAAGAGTCCTGGGGTAGGGGAACCGGGCGTCTGGGCCATAGGGATCTGGGGACTTGGCCTTTTCAGCTTAGAAAAGAGACTAAGGGAGGATACGCGAGAGATCTATAAAATCATGACTGGTGTGGAGAAAGTGAATAAGGAAAAGTGTTTTACTTATTCCCACAAGATAAGAACTAGGGGTCACCAAATGAAAATGATTGGCTGCAGGTTCAAAGCAAACAAAAGGAAGTTTTTATTCAGGTAGCGTACAGTCAACCTGTGGAACTCCTTGCCAGAGGATGTGGTGAAGGCTGGAACTTTAACAGGGTTCAAAAAAGAGCGAGATAGCCGTTGATGGACCTAACCTCCATGAATCTATTAGCCAGGATGGGCAGGGATGGTGTCCCTCGCCTCTGTGTGTCAGAAGCTGGGAATGGGTGACGGGGAGGGATCACTTGATGATTCCCTGTTCTGTTCCCTCCCTCTCAAGCACCTGACATTGGCCACTGTCGGCAGACAGGACACTGGGGTAGAAGGACCTTTGGTCTGAACCAGTCTGGCCATTCCTATGAAGATGATCGGGGGGCGGGGTCTGGGATTTTCTGGGGGCTAGGTACCAGCCTGGAAGGCACTGACACATACACCCCCCTTCTCTTCCAGATGGTCAGTGGAGATGCCTCAGGTGCATAACTCGCCTTCCCTTTATCTGCGAATACTGAGGGGGATGCTCCCGCCATGGGGTGGCCCTGCCCCCATCGCTCTGCTGGCCTGGGCCTCCCTGCTCCACCCTGCCACCCCTGCCTCTGGGAGTTGGCTCCCCTCCCAGCCCCCCACAGCTCCACAGGGGGAGGCAGCCCCTGGCCCCCACTCTTGGTTGTGGCCTGTGACTCCCTGCAATAAAACAGCCTTTCCCCCAGCACCCCTGGCCTCGCTCCTTCCTGCTGGGGCTGGGCTGGGGGGGGGGGACTGGGAGAGAGGCTGGGGCTTT